CAATTTTCTGAGTTGGGCCATATTCCCCAAAAGGGCCCATTACAAGTCCAAAATTTCGTAGTCCAATAACAATTTCAAAAGACCCAGCATAGGCCAATAGGCCTAATGCTCAACTTCCAGATTCCCAAGCCCAAAACTATACTCCACAGTGGGCCATAGGGCCCAATAGTCCACACCCAGTCCCCTAAGGCCCAAAAAGCCCAATGTAGCCACTCTGCATACGCACACGCGACGTACTTGGCATGTACGCCTGGTGTACGCTGGCCTTGACTGTGAACGGGAAGTTGACCTAGTACGCGCAGCGTACCAGGGTGTATGCTTAGCTTACTAGCCAGCTTTCTTGGGACTTCATTTGTGACTTAATCCATTAAGTCCTTATGTCCAAAATGTAGATCAAGGTCCTTTAAGACTTCCTAATCCATAAAGTCACAAATTTTATGTGCTTGCATGCATGGTTGGGAGTCAAAACATGATTTTGGTCAATTAACAAGCTTTATTACCATCAAGCACTTGCATGGCTGGGGCTTAACCATCAAGGTCCGATTTTTATGACTCTTAGTGCCTCTAAGAGGCCAAAAGGACAACTCTTATGGTCTAAAATCATCTAGTTGCAAGAAGTCTCAACAATTGAGTCCAAAAGTAGCATAAAACACCCCAACATCATATCTAAACATGCAATGATCAAGTTTGAAGCTTGATACCTCAAATAAGTTAGAAATGGTGCTAATCTTCTAGATCTACAAGCTCATTTTCAATACTTGCTCCTTCTTCAACCTCATTTTCTTCTAAACCACCAAAATCACACAAAGAAGCTCTCAATTGGCAAAAATACACAAAAATGGGTTAGGGTTTTCTAGGTGGCTGCTTAAGGGTGATAGGGAGGCTGGTCCAAGGACATAAGGTCCATTAAATAGGGATCAAACCCTAACATTTAGGGTTTAGGACCTGCACGCGTACACTGCGTATACCCTTTAGTATGTTGGGCGTACGTGCATGGCCTCCCCGCCCAATTCTCTCGAGTACGTTGAGCGTACCTATCATGGTACGCCCCGGGTAATGCCCTTCTCAGCCCAACTATCCTGGCCCAAACCAAAACAACCCATTATTCAATAAGATAAATAATATTAATACATGGTAAATCACAGATGTTACAATTTCGCTGAATTTTTTTGAATAAAAACCAAAAAAAAAAAATTTAATTTTTTAATTTTGTTTCAGCGAATTTAAAAAAAAAAAGCTTCGATTTTTTATATATAAAGTAAAATAAAGATTTGTGATCTTCAAGTATTTTTTATGCATTTTATGATTTTTAGGGCTTTTTTCCATATATATATATATATATATATATATATATATATATATATATATATACCGTTGAGATTAAACATAAAATAGAGATCTTGAGATTCAACCTCAAGCATATATTTCATATTTGTCGCTCTAACCCTCTGATGTATCGGCACGACATGTTAGTTATAATCATAAATGATTATATAGCACTGCTCATTCCTTTCTCCTCTGCTACCATCCCCACAATCACCACCATCATTATCACCACCTCTGAAAACACTTGATCCCACCAGTATCACCTCCGTCACTTATACCATCGTTATCTCTGTCATCAGTACCTATTCTGCCAGCAACTGTGATAATCTTTTATAATTACTCAGTCTGTGAACAATCATATATGTATAATCATTTATGATTAGGCATACCACCTTGCTGCTGGTACACTGGAGCGTTAGAGCGACAAATGAAAAATATGTGGGTGAGGTTGAATCTCAAGATCTCTGCTTTTGTTTTGTTTTTAATCTCAAGTGAACCGTCCCATATATATATATATATATATATATATATATATATATATATATATATATATATATATATATATACATTCATACACACACACACATATATATATATATATGTATATATATATGCATAAAAGTAAATTCAAATAAAAACAGTAAACAGTGTGAGAACATAAAAACACTATGTTTGTGTTATTATTTTGTTATGAATGTTCTATATGTTTATTGTTGAAGTAATTATAATATGAAAATTAAATTTTGATTATTAATATATTCATTAGAATGTTGCTATTCTAGTATAAATTTACATATGTGCATTTTTGTAGTAAATACTATAATTTAGTTTTAACTTGCGACTATTCATTTATTCATTGCTGAATAATGACATAAAGTTGTGCATACAAAATTCATTGCAAAATAATAATATAAAAACAAGGATTCACGTGTTGCCTTGCAATGAATGTAGTAAAGGTACTGGCATTTGGCTTTCAAATAAAGTGAAAGATTCTATTAATGTGGTTATTACTAATCTTTCCATGTATTGTTTGATGTTTCATTTGTGTATATAAAGTTTCTTGACTAATCCTATTTTAATTTTTTTTATGTAAATATACCTTTTTAAAAACTTCTATTCTTACCCAGCTAACTACTTTCTTCCTAAAATGTCTTGTAGGATGAGATTAACAAGTTAGTGACTTCTATGGGAGGTTCGTTACAAACTAAAGCATCATCAGACATTACCTTTGTCATTATGAAGAACGTACCTTCACCATCCATATTTAAACATCTATGTTCAAAATAAAGTGGTCAATATTTTGTACACAGTTACTAAAACCTTTGTACATGCTTTTGTGTCAAATGGTAATATATTGCTATTTCCCACTGTTTGATAACCTTGGTACCTGATATAGGCTCATTTTGACTGTTGTTGTAATATTGTTATTTGAAGCCTTATTCATACAAGTCGTTTGAAGGTTATTCTTGATACTTTGGAAATGCTAAAAAAACCTGATGTCAATGCAATGTTCTTTAATTTGGATTCCAGGTGTGTAGTCTTAATTAATTTTAGATTTCTTAGTTTTTTTTAATGATTTTTATGAACAAGTTTTTTATTCTCCTACAGTTGCTTTATGATTTTGTATTTGAATCCCCTCACATTAATTTGGATTCCAGGTGTGTAGTCTGAATTATTATCTTTTTTTGTCGTATATAATATCCATTATATTAATTTGGATGTGATTCATATATTTACATGTAAATCACATGTGAATCATATGTGATTCACATGTAAATCATATGTCATTCACATATTAATCATATGTAAATCATATATGAAGACTATGTGATTCACATATAAATCACAAGTGAATTACATATGAATTACGTATATATGTACACATTCATATGTTATTCACATGTGATTCATATGTGAATCGCATGTGATTTACATATGATGTCATATGTAAATGTGATTCATACGTGAATCGCATGTGATTCATATGTGAATCGCATGTGATTCATATGTTAATCAAATGAAAATCACATATGTATTTTTGTGAGTGTTTTTGCATCAATCAATTTTTTTAAAACTTTCTTGTAGATTTGGAAGAAATTGTGTTGAATATTTAAGAAGTGAAAATGATAAATTGAAGAAAATAAGAAAATATTCATACGAAGACACAAAAACGCTTTGAAATTTATATTATTTTTTATTTATTATATTTTATTTTGTATCGAATAAAATAAATATACTATTATGTTTATCGATTGATTTATAAAAATAAGATTTTTTATTATTAGTTACGAATATTATAGTATAAGAATTATTGAATATATGCATTTGAAAAAATATGCATATATGCACCAAAATTTTTAGTTTTTTTAAAAAAGAATAGAGTTTTTTTTAATGCAAAAACTGCGTGTTTTTTTTTTTTTTTTTGAAAATACTGTATCTTTCTTTAAAAAACGGGCAATTTTTTTGAAAAATTGTTTTTTTATTTAAAAATTCAGTTTTAATAAAAATTGCAATTTTTTCGAAAAAAATGTAGTTTTCTTTAAAAAAAATGCAATTTTTATTGGAAAAAATTGTTGTTTTTTTAAAAAAATGTATTTTTCAAAAATTCATGTTTTATTTATAAAAAATTTAAAAATCTGCACTTTTAAAAAAAATCAAAAAATACTACTTTTAAAAAAATATGAAAATTTGATTTATTATGTAATTTTTTAGACATTTATATAAATATATTCAATAGCACAAAAAATTAAACATTACATGAAATTGGTAAGATGACGATAATGTCCTTAATGAATTAATTTTGATCGAACATTGTACTTTTAGTTCTCGGGTTCTTGGGAAACTTTAAGTTCTAAACCGATCTCAACCATATATATATATATATATATATATATATATATATATATATATATATATATATATATATATATATATATATATATATATATATATATGTAGGATATAGATCCGGTAAAAAATTTTTTTTGGTAGGAAGGTAAGAAGTTTTTTTTTCTACATATTTTTTAGACGAACAAAATAAATGAATCACTAGATGATTAATTTGTAATATGATTCACAAGAAAAAATTCTCAAAAAAACATCTTTATGATTTATTTTTAAGTAAATTAAGAAAAAATTCATTTTTATGATAATTTTAGTGAATAACAACAAAATCATTGTATAAATGAATCATCGAGATGTTTTTTTGAGAATTTTTTCTTCTGAATCATCTTACCAATGAATCATCTAATGATTCATTTTGTTTGTTCGCGAAAAAAATATGTAGAAAAAAAACTTGTTACCTTCCTACCAAATATATATATATATATATATATATATATATATATATATATATATATATATATATATATATATATATATATATATATATATCCATTCTTAATAATTGCCTCTCCTACATGCCACATGTCACTTCTATATACTCCATCAATCCACATGTCTCTTTTCTGGTGCTTCTCTCCCTTTGTTTCCCGCTCAATCTTTTCCAATCCATTCCCCAAATCCCATAAAATCTGCTAAATTTTTAATTGCATTTCAGTCTTCCTATCTTTATTGAGGATGTTACGGGATTCGGTTTAAAGGAGATTTGGGATTCAATTTAATTAAGCTTTTAAATCCAATTTTCTGAAATCTCGGCACCATCTACTGTGACGATGGTTACTTATGAATTACAAATATCTCTTCTACAGGTTGGTTTATTTTATGAAGATGGAAGCCTTGTCGAGGCAAAAGGGATCGGAAGAAAAATACTCGATATGGTTTATAAAACCTACGAATCTGAAATGGGTGGCAAAGGTTTTGCGTACGATGGTCCGTTGGTGCTTTACCTGCAACTAATCTCGAGTTCAATGTCGTTCTGGAAAATGCCGCATCAAATAGGTAATAAACAATGTTTGACTTTTGACTTTCTTTTTAAGAACCATGCTGCTAACAATTAACAAACACGTGTTGTTTGTATACAACTATCCGAGGTGGAAGCCCAAGTGAAGGAGAAACCAAAAGATCGAGGCGTGTGCCTCAATCGAAGCAGTATAAGGTGACTTTAAGTTTTGCGACAAAGATCCCAATTCAAGCTATTGTTAATGCGCTTCAAGGTCACGATTCTGAGCAATTTCATGAAGCAATTATGGTTTTAGTTAGGGTTTTAGATGTTCTTCTTCGCCAACACACGGCGAAATAGTAAGTCATATACATATGTAAACAAGAAATTCTACTTAATTATTCATGTATTTGTATTCAATTATGTTAATCATGGTTTATTTGGGATTATACACAGAGGTTGTCTTCCGGTTAGACAATGTTACTTTCAAAATGATTCAAGGAACTTCATAAGCATTGGAGGTGGTGTTGTGGGTTGCAAGGGGTTCCATTCAAGTTTTCGTGCCACCCGATATGGGCTGAGTTTGAACATGGGTAAAAAACACTAACGATTTCATCTTTTTTATTTGTCTAATTTTAAAATTATAATGCTATGACAGATTATACTGATTATCAATGAACATTGATTTGATTCTATTACAGATGTATCTACTACTATGATCATCAAATCAGGGAAAGTTATGGATTTCCTATTTGAAAACCAAAACGTTCGCAGCTTAAGGGAGATCGATTGGATCAAGGTATAACAATTTTGTTCTGTTTTAAACTTATCAATTCAAAATTTCAAACATTGAATTTGATTCTTTTTTGGCGATTAGGCAAAAAGAATCCTCAAGAACCTTCGCGTCAAGACCTTACCCTCGAATTTGGAGTATAAGATCATTGGATTGAGTGAGAAAACATGTAGAGAACAGAGGTTAGTGAATTTTTTCAATTATTTCATGTCATTTAATCAACATTTTCATACGTTTGAAATCTAAATAATTAATTTTGTAGGTTTTCTTTGAAACAAAAGAATCAAAGAGATGGGTATAGCCCAAGTGAAGCCATTGACATAACAATGTTTCAATACTATGCTAATTATCGACAAATACACCTTGAATACTCTATTGATTGCCCATGTCTTGATGTTGGAAAACCTAAGAAACTAGTTTATATCCCTCTTGAGGTAATTAAATATATAAATCTTTTCAGATTTTGTTAACAAATGTAAGAAAACTGAAGATGGACATATTTTGGACTTGTTATTCAACTGGACTCCTATTTGATTTATGTTTTTAACTACCGACTCTTTCATTCCTATGTATTGATTTAATTTTTATGTGTCGATTCCATAATAATGCTTATTTCAGGTAAATTGCATTTGATTAGTCCATTGATAACTATAAGATAAATGATCGTTTTCTCATTTTGTGGCTAGGTAATTCCTTTCCTCCATCTCATTTTATTCTGTAATTTTCTCTCATTCAACCGATTGATTTTATATGGTTTAACTATAAATATTATTTATATGACTATAATCTATAGTCTTTGGTTTTATTCTTCAGATTGATGGAGATGGAGGCGAAACGTGTTGCATGAGAAAAGGTTCAAGAAGGTACAATCAATATTCGGTTGCTTTATATATTTTTCTATTTTTTAATTTTATCCATTTTCCTAACTTTTTAGGAACTCTCAAGTTTACCAACATTGGAGTTAATTCACAAGGATGGCAGTCCTTCTAGCCCTAATCATTTTTAGCTCTGGAACATTCTTTGTACATGAAAATTTTCATATTTCTTGATGCTTTTGTATACATCTATCAAAATGACCTACTTTATTGTTTTTATAGCATCATACTAACATGAAAAATACTTTATAACATAATACTTTCCAACAAATTTGAAAAACAATTTTGAAAATTGAAATGGCAATTTTACCCATACAGTATGATGTATACATCAGTGTTATAATTTAATAAAAAACTTATTAAAAAAACGAGTTTCTTATTTATTGATATCTGAGGCATTGTTTAGTTCATTACTATACATATCTACAACCTTGATCAAAGTATAAAGCCATATTAACAGAATTTTACAATGTACAACACTTGGTAAAATTTTCTTAATAGTTATTGTATTTTGAAAGTACGATGTTGTAATAAGAACAAGTGAAGATTACCAAAGACTTATTTTCATCCTTATTTAGGCCTTATAGTTTGATAAAAGTCTTATTTTTAATGAAATGACCATTTTACCCAACAAAGTTAAAACCCAAAATTTATAAATATTAATTTATTATATCATTATACGAGTTCATTTCTATTATGAATAACAAAAATTAAGTATTTTATATTCATTTTAATTATTTAAATTGATTTGACTACCAAACTTTGAAGAGGAATTACTTATTGGTCTGACTTATCTGTTATTTATTTATTTTTTTATGTTTTTAATCGTTATATTCAAATAAAAATCCTCATCCATACATAATCGGCTTTCCACCATTTTTCTTAAATTGAAAGGAGTTTCAAGATCATCCATATGAGAAGAATAATTGATCATATGTTGCCATAACAGTGTGATTGTAGGATGCTATAAGACATGGATAAATGAAAGTACATTGCTAAATCTTGTATTTATAAAAAAAAAAGCATAGATTTATGTTAATGTTTGCTTGACCCATTGTAGGTCATAAATGAAGACTTCAATCCAATTTGGAATGAGAGTTTTAACTTTGTTGTTGAGGAAGGTTTACATGATTAACTTATTGCTGAAGTATGGCACCATGACACATTTGAGAAGTAATGCACATTATATAGAAACAAAAAAAAGCAAAAAGGTAAACTTTTGTACTTTATCCGAATAAATGATATAAAATAGGGACTAAACCTGTTATTTTCTACTATTTTTTGAAGGACTACATGGGTATCACTTTTTGAGAGTAACGGGAGTTATATTAGAAAGGCAATATGAAGACAATATTCAAGTTGAGGTGTCACTTCAGGAAAACTTATCTTAAATCTCAAATTGTTAGCCACACTAAATTGATAAAACTTAACATCCCTTAATCGCTGTTTTTCTGGCTAATAAAGATCTTACCGGGAAATTTGTGCCAAGGGAAGGTGCATTTGGAGTTGTTATATTGGAAATATGCTATTATTAACCCATTCTGTTACAACTTTTCAACGATGTTTATGGAAAAAGTTTTTAAATGTGATTCAGGGGTTGAAAATGGTGATTTATTTTGTTTGTCTTTTTCACTCTATTCAAATTTATATTGTATTGTAGAAAATCATAATTTTATAAAATATCAACATTATACATAATATCGATTGGAAATTCAAACCAATGTGTTTGTTGTAGTTTGAAGTAATCATTATATCATTGTAAACTTATAGAAAAATGTCTATATTTATAAAAAAAAAAATTATTAGTCGATTATTATCTTATGATTTTATTTATAATTTTTTTTTTTTTCGTATTTTACCTGTGATGTTCACGGGTTATAACCTAATATATATATATATATATATATATATATATATATATATATATATATATATATATATATATATATATATATATATATATATATATATATATAATATGGGTGTTTTTAAGTTTGTGACTTATATCGACTCGTGGAGTCGTGGTCTGGTACTCTCATTTGCCAACTTTTTACAATAAATCCCAAAAGAGAGTTCTTAAAATTCTTTGATTTCGAATGTGCGTTATCTTTTGTGAAGCATGCAGCGACGACCGTGAACACCTAGAAAACAAATGTATTCGTATGGCAGCCATTAAATTGAGGCGGATCTATATTAAATTGAGGCGGCAATAGATCGATATAGGTTGAGTTCGGGTTTAATATATTTATTAATTGAGTTGAAAATTTTAATCCAATTCAATTTGTTTATTTAAATGAGATGATATTTTCAAAATTCTACATTTTAGATAAATGTAAAATGGGTTGTCAACGAATTGATCTGTTTATGTAGTTTCCGACCTAACCAATAAAATAAATGGGTTAAACTTGTGTTAACCCATTGAAATCAATTAAATAAATTATATAATTAAATATTATACCACTTAAATTATTAAATGTAAATAAAACTTCATAATTATAACAAAAGCACAATCTTAATTCATAAATACAAATAAATTGTTCAAATAACATTAAAAATAGTTAGTTTTATAATGATTTTGGAGAGTAACCAGTATTATCGACACTATGAGAGAATAGAAATTAGGATTTCAGTTTATTTAACATAGATAATAATAATGTAACATTATAATTTACAAATTAATACTTTGATTAATATAGGATAATATTCATATAATATTAAATTAAATATACATAATAAAGTTAAATGGGTTGATGAGTTCATAACATGTTGTTAATTTTTATCCAACCTAACCTATTTAATTAAATCGGTTAGACGGATTGATCCATTTAGGTTAAATGGGTTGAAAATCTCAACCAAACCCGTTAATTTTGGGTTGGATTCGGATTTGATTAATAGGTTGGATCAATTTTTACCGGCTCTATCAATAAGACATAATCATAGGTTAAATATGCATAAGGTCTTGTATCAATGAATAATTAGGCTGTATATACCATCTTATTTTTTAGCTTATTGAAATTTAATGTTTATTAACACCATAAAAATCTATTATAGAAACTTATAAACTATTTTATAAATTATTTTTTAATAAAATATTTAAAATAACTTATTAATAAACTATTTTATAAACTAAAGCTAGCTTTTTAAAACCAAACACACTCTTAGATAAATCATCAAATCGCCAATTTACCTTTTAAGACCTTCTAAGATATGGATCATTCTTCTTTTTTAGTAAAAGAACTTTATTCCCTATTTCCCTTAATTACTTTAAATATTTAAACATACATGATGCTAACTAAAACGAATGAAATTAGTGATTAGAATGAGATACCAAAGCCATTATAAGAAAAAGAAGCTATTTAATCACCGACAAATGTCACTCTCATTATGACTTTGTTATAATACTTCTCCACCACATATAAACACAATGTGAGTGCGAGAAAATGTTTTTGTTTTTGGGTTTGTTTTTGGATCGATATGCATCCACCACCGTTGACGTAAAGTAAATACCTTGAAAAAGGTTTTTGTTTTATCTTATTAATATTTTCGTTTTGTTAAATCAGGTTGGCTGCTGGGTTTGTAACATGCGAGAAAATTAGACTAAAGAACTTCTTTATATAATACTGTTTCTTTTCTGACACTGATATTTATTTCAGTAAATGCATGAGAAACATTATAAGATATGTTCTATTGTATAATATAATGTTCTATATATATAACAAATGACGCCTTTTGTATGAGATAAGTGATTTCAAATAAAGAGTAAAGTACATAAATGGTCCCCGTGGTTCGGTGAAATAGGAACATGTAGTCCAACTTTAACAAAACGGTCAAACTCGGTCCTTGTGTTTTGTCGATATTATGGAAATGGTCATTCGTAAACAAAACGCCGTTAAATATATGTGAAATGATATTTTTATCTTTTTTTAATCTTATTTTATTATTACGTCCCAATTGCAAGGACCATTTATGTAACTTACAATTGAAATGAACATAAGAATCATGGCTTTGAAACAACCACCAACAACTAATGGGGGTTCAGTTGAGGCCAAGTGCTTACTTATGATCAAAAGAACCCATGATTGGATTTTACCAAAGAAAATACAGGATTCATTTAAAAAATGCAAAAATATAGGTTGGTTTCTATTTGTTGGTGGGTGTACATATTTGGATGTGATCATTTCCTATTTCAAGTTCTCCCATCTAAGTTATATGCTTCAATATTCTCTAATTAATGAAGAGAATGGGTTTAACTTCACTTGTTTCTTTATTTATACCTCAACCAATTCATGGCTTCGATGGCGTGCTTTAGCAATCAGAACTTGGTTGTGGAGGATAACCTAAAACTGATTTTGGAGTTCAGATCGTGGTTATGGGTGTCTGTGATCTCAGATAGTGTTTAGAGGAAGACGCGGAGAGGAAAATATGTATGATGTAACTAGTAACATGAATGGAATCAAAGACGAGCGGTAGTAGGTGATGAAGTTAGGGATATCAGTATGGTTTCAGGCAGTAGAGGGGGTTAATTATGGGAGATGAGGTCAATGTCGACGGTGGAGTTTGAGGCAGCAAAAAGAGAGCTTGTACGAGAGAGGCGGGCGTAAGGAAATGACTGGCTACTTTGGATTTCATTCAATGAATATTATTCAAAAAATAAAAATAAAGTAAAATACAAAAAATATTAAAAAGACAAAAGAAAGGATAAAAATGTCATTTCACACACACACAAATATATATATATATATATATATATATATATATATATATATATATATATATATATATATATATATATATATATATATATATATATAACGGCATTTTTTTTTGACGTCGTGTGTCGTACGACCATTTCTATAATATCAACAAAACATAAGGACCGAGTTTGTCCGTTTCATTGAAGTTGGACTATATGCCCATATTTCTCTGAACAACGGGTACCATTTATGTAATTTTGTCTAAAATAAATTTTACAAAGGTTTTATATAATGTTGTAGAAATTGAAAAGTGAATGTGTTAATACTATGCTACCAAATAGGACTAGTTACGTAATTTGATGCAAGTGATATGTAAGTAATCTTATATATTACCAAAAGCAATAGAATTATTTTATATTATATTATGTTTGTCGACTCAATAATTCCAAAAATACTACTAATGCATTTATGATTAAATCATATAGACTAGTGGTGGATAATAAACAATATATTTGGGAAGAGAACGAGCCTTGATAACTTCATTAATAGTGATGAAGAATAGTACAACTAGCAAGCAAAATGAAACACTCAAGAACCAAATCCAAAGCTAAAGGACATACCTCAAAGCAAAAGTTAGACATCTAGCTACACTAAAGAAATAACGACACATTATAATCCCTAGTCAACAATGTCACTTTCACTAATGTCTTCACTTATGCCATACACATTGTTTTTTTCTTTGCGTCCCCGCTTCCATAAATGGAGCCTTCTGAGTTTGATCCAGAAGTACCTCCACATCATCATATTTGTTTTCCTTTATGATTTGTTTAAATGTTTCAGCTTGGCATCAAGGTACCTCAACATTTATTGGAGGTGATTTTCTTCTTCCTTCCTCCCACAATATCGGCTAGAAAACTTGAGATATTTTTATAATGGGTGTTTGACCTTTATTTTGGCCTACATTGACTGTTTCTAAGGTATAATAAATGATTTATGTTGTTTCCCAACCATTTGAAAGCCCTCATTATCAATAACTTTGTTTGTTGGAACAATCATTAAGGAATAGAAGTAATTTCCACATAGATTGGGATACGAAGAGTGGTCATTGACAAAAGATATTGCAACTTTTTTGCAGGTACTTATAAGGACCGAAGATTTTTATAGGGCGTACTTGATGTTGACTTTTTAATTGTACACATATTGAACACTTTGAAATATACTTGGCCAATCTTTGGCTACGTTCCCAACCTAAAATAATGTATCTTTAAGTCTTGATATGTCTTTAGTTCTTTCGGGGTGAATGAAGTATTTAAACTTGTGAACATCATTCAGAAAACAATTTTCTATTTCCTCCAAACTTTGGGATCTAAATTCTTCCTTTGAATGTCTTTAAATCTTGTCTATTTTCTTCAAGAAGCACTTTTACATCTCTAGAAGTTGTTGCCAAAACGTGATTGTTATTAGAATAGTTAGATAAATATGGAAAAAGATGATTATTTTCATGCACACATTTGTTGCATACATATTCATCGGAAGAACTAGAGGATGAATCAATTTGAGTAAAAAGTAAGAGGGAAAATACAAACATTGAGGTGGTTGAGTGTTGCATTTATAGGACATAATTACGTGCAAAAAAAAAAAAAAAAAGGAAAGGCATAAAGACGTTGCCAAGAAAAGAGAGAAGCAGGGAGCAACGTCTCTTTCAAACTGTAACAGGTTTAAATTGGGCGGTATTGACCTTGTTGGAATGTGTTCCTCGGCGGTAGGATCGGGTAAAGTTTGGAAACCGGAATTTAAGGATTATAAGACCCAATAATCAAACCGTTAGGAACCGCTTCCGGATATTGGATCGGGTAAAGTGGATACGGAACCGGTTGGAACCGGAAATTGTTAATTGCAACCGGTTTCGGGTTTTAAACCCGGATGGACCCGGAAACCAGAAATATAATAAAACATCGTATTTTATACAAATAAAACACTTAGAGTTTAAATTAAAACAATCTATTTTGCTAGGTAGGTTGTTTTGGATACTTCTTCAATTTAAGTGTACTATATCTCATTTTTTTGGCAATGTCTGGATACAAGAACAGTGGGAAATAGATTATAACTCTTGTTTTAGCAAATATTTTAGAGCAATATTCAAGTATAACGTGATATGCAAATATTGTTCAGATAAATACATGTAAATCAAATTAACTTTCAGCTACTTTAGTATTATTAATTAGACTATAGTTAGTAAAAAAAACGTTCAACATTATCTCACATAATCTAATTTATTAAGGCTAATTATATATTGAATTACGGGCCCCACCCACACTCAAGGAGATACAAGCCCCACCCAAACTCGGCTAACAAAGAGATATGAGCTCCGCCTACACTCCGCTGACTAGGAGATATGGGCCCCGCCCACACTCCGCTACTAAACATACATACAAGGATCACACAAACAACAAGTATAACCAAATATATCAGTCAGTCCTATATCCGTACTCTAAAATGTTATGAGATACGGACCCCACTCACACCCGACTAACTATGAGATATGGGCCCCACCCACACTAGGCTAGCTAGGAGATATGGGCCCCGCCCACACTCCGCTGCTAATCAATACACATAACATACATGGACCGACATTGGTGCCTTCGACTCGTTCAAACCAGGAGGAAACTTACCTCACTGTCGAATGATAGCTAAAACGTCCCTACCCGAAATCAGCTCTACTCTCTCCCTGAACCAAAACAACCCCTTAGATATCATTTCATACTTATAACCCTTAAGGGTCAACTTTGGTCAAGTCAAAGTTAAGGTCAAGTCAAAGTCAACGCTCTGAGTTGACTCAACTTGCCACGTTTACCCTTCAACTCATCGAGTTCTCATGAATCACAGAATCGTAAAATTGCAATCTAACTCATCGAGTTTTCCTCTAACTCGCCGAGTTCCTCCTTCTCAACAGAAATGAGACTTTCCTAGTATAACTCATCGAGTTCCCTTGTGGACTCGCCGAGTTTCGTTAACAGAATTGGGAATGACAACCCAATTCGTCGAGTTCCTCTATGAACTCGCCGAGTTCCTCACATTTCTAGTTTATTCAGCAATTTCCTCAAATCTAAGGTTCCAAAATATAGATCTACATTGTTTCCATGGCATATTTCTGTAAAGTTGACAAGTTGATGGCTTTGCACGCCTCAAAGGGACCAAAATCTCGAGATATAGCAACCTACTTCTATAGACATGGTATTTTCTTGGACAAGAACGGGTTTAGGACCCTTTTTATGAATCTAAGGGCAAAATAACACTGAGAATGGGAGTTTGTAGCCTCAGGACTATAAAGGTTATCATGCTTCCAACAATGGGGTCATAAAGGCCCGTAAAACAAGACTAAGAGAGATCTAAGCTATGAATCATCAAGTTAGGGACTTTTTACCTCAGAAAGTTGCCAAAGATGAACGAGATTCTTGATCTAGTGCTTCCCCTCAAGCTCAATGAGCTTCTTGTTCTTCCAAGTCCTTCACCAAGCACAAACAAACACAAAAACCCACTCAAAACCTCAAGTTTCTCACCAAGGAGCTCACAATACGAATTAGAGTTTCAGGGAGGCTGATGAGGGATGGTGGGAAGAGATTAAGTCCTTTAAATAGGGTGCAAAACCCTGGAAATTAGGGTTTCATCCCACTCGATCTACTTGTCGAGTTGAGGCCTCTCAACTCGTCGAGTAGATTTCTTAAATCACACGGTCCTGACAATCTCTACTCAACGAGTTTGGGGCTACCAACTCGTCGAGTTGCTCTGCAAACAAGAATAATATATAAATTAAACACGTACCAGGAACTAGGCGTTACACATAGGGTGTTTAGAAATAACAACCTTTGTAGCCTGTGGACCCTCTTGGATTTGGGGTGTTGAAGTTGTTGGCAAGAACAATAAGCTTGATCTTCTCTACAAGTAATCCACCAACAAGATAAGGTACTCAAAATGCTAATGTTCTTCTTATATGACTTTGGTCTTTAAGCATCAAGTGCTTAAAAAATTAAGCACTAGAAGGAAGACACAAAGTAAGTACTAAAAGCAAAAACACCAACTTCAAAAGTGGAGAGAGGCTCTCCCTTAGGTGCTCTCGGCTTTAGAGAGAAATAGAGAGGAGAAAGACCAAAAGAACTCTACTCATTTCATGCACAAGAGTCCCTTTTTATACACCCATGCAAAGTAAAGTCAAAACATTAAAATACTCTAAAGTATTTTAAAGCATAAAATGAAAGAGGGAAAAGCATGGACACCAAGTATGGAAGAAAACATAAGAAATCTCCTATACACTAGGCCATTTCGGCCATGATGGCTTGGAAGAGGCAAAATTTGTCTCCAACTTTATTAACCATGGTAAAGTAAGTCTTTAACTTAATCATGGTTAACCAATTGGTCCAAAACTTTGTACATGACTTATTATATGATATCATATCATATAATGGCTAGTTTCTAGTTTCTTTTATTATTATTTTTATAAAACAATAATTATTCTCTAATTAAATACAAGAGTTGAATTTATTTATTAATATCAAATATATAATAAATATTCAATAAGTACCAACTTGATTAAGGTGTAACCCTATAGGATCATATGTTATTAGCAACATCACTCAATAATGATTCATGAACAGTACCTTCGACCTGCAAGTATAGTGTGAAAAACTCACCTCTCAGTGTGAAAAGATCTTTGAATAGGATACAACTCCAAATATCAGCTCAACCGATCACTTATTCATCAAGAAATGACCAATCTCAAATACCACTAAAAATACTCAAAATACCCTTAGGTCAAAATTGGTCAAACCCTAGTTAAAGGTCAACGCAACAAGTCAACCCATCCAGTCGCCACGTTGTGGTTAGCTGTAGCTATGTTGTGGTGACTAGAGGAAGAAACAATCTGATGTCATCCATCCACCACGTCATGGTGACTGTTCAGACCAGCTTATTCTAATATGCTCTTAATCTATGAAACCAATCATTCAAACTTCCCATAAGGCATTCTGTCATCCAAAGAACCATAAAAATCATTACTTTATAGACATGCATATCATGAGCTCAAACTAGGTTTAAATAGAGTAAAAAGGACCAAGATTACATGCAAGAGTTCAAAACTCTAAGAAATTCCATATCCAACACTCCTAACCCCAAAGAGACTCTAGGGATCCGTAAAGTTGGCAACTTTTTTGAATTCCAACACTCCAGTTAGTCCCAACATGAAGAATAAGGCTTAGAAACCTAGATATACTCACAAAGAACTAAAAAGCATGGAACTTGAGGACTTACAAAAGTCTAGAATATGCATAACAAGAAGATGAGAAGAGTCACTTACTAAATCCAATACAAAATGTGACCTTCTTCTTCTTCTTCTAATTCAAAAATCAACACCAAAGATTCAATAAGCAAGTTGGAGGTTAGGGTTTGCTTGGAGGCTGAGAGAGTGTGATGGAGGCAGAGGGCGAGCAACCCTAGCCATCGCACTCCTTTAAACAGGGGTGCAAAACCCAGAGGCTAGGGTTTCTCATTAAACTGACACCACTACATGGTTAAAGGTCCCTACGTCGTGGTAGTCATTTAGAACCCATGATTAGAAAATGCTCTGCCGTGTCGTGGTGATGCTCCACCATGCTGTGGCCACCCCCAATTTAGATTTATACATAAAAGTTAATTTATACCTGCACCGGATGTTACAACAACCCTCAGGATTATTGAAACAACAAGAGATACCTGAATGGAAGTGGGAGCAAATCGCAATGGATTTTGTGACCAAATTGCCCAAGACTAGTACTTGTTACGACAATATATGGGTAATTGTCAATAGATTATCCGAGTAATCAATAAAAGACATGGATAAGATGGAGAAGCTGACCAGGATGTACCTTAGAGAGATATTTAAATTTTATGGGGTACCGTTATCTATTATCCCTAACAGAGATAACAAATTTACCTTCCGATTTTGGAAAAGTTTGCAAAAATCCCGTGGTACCCGCCTGGAGATGAGTACAACGTACCATCCTCAGACCGATGGCCAAAGTGAAAGGACCATCCAAATGTTGGAATATATGCTCAGAGAATGTGTGATAGATTTCGGCAATGCATGGGATACTCATCTTCCTTTAGTTGAGTT